CCAGTGACCCCCTTCACCCTGTACCCGCCCCTCCAAAGCCTTCACCACACTATCTGTGTCCATGGGCTATGCATATCTAATAATAATGAAATCATAATATGCTAATTAGACCAGGCATTCTTCTGGATGTCCTTCCAGATGACTTTCTAGAAGAAGCCGGGGCTGTGAGTGAAGTGCCTGTCAGAGGCTAGAGGGAAGCTCGGGTCCCTGGTGCTTTCTGGTGCTGGAAGGAAGCCTGGGTCCTGGGTGCTAGAGGGAAACCTGGGGCCCGGTTGGCAGAGGGAAGCCAGTGCCAGCAGCTGGAAGAAGGAAAGCCTACTCTTGAATGAATTTCATGCATTGAGCCTCTCATATGAATATAAATTCCCCAGTTAATCTCTCCCCACTCTCCCACCCCCTATAAACAGTTTACACTGTTTCAGTCTATATAGAGGTACAGGGTGAAAGAGTTAATTAGACTTCTGATGTAAATAATATAAAACTACTAGAGGCCCAGTGCATGAAATTTGTGCACTTGAGGGGAGTCCTTCAGCCTGGCCTGTGCCCTCTTACAGTCCATGTGGAGCAGGCCTAAGCCATTAGTCAGACATCCTTAGCGCTGCTGTGGAGGTGGGAGAGGCTCCTGCCACCTTCACTGCACTTGCCAGTGATGAGCCTGGGTTCTGGCACTGACCACTAAGGGTAAGTTCCTGCATTGGGTGTCTGCCCCCTTGTGGTCATTGCACATCATAGCAACCGGTTGTTCTGCCCTTTGGTCAATTTGCATATTAGCCTTTTATTATATAGAGTAATCTTTCTAAATTTAAAAGAAAATTTAGTTTCATATGAAGAAATGAAAGAAAGAACACAGGAGCACTGATCAGAAACTTTATTGTTTGTTGTGCTACTTTGGTACTGCATACAAACCTTCAAACAAGACGGACACTTTCTGTTTTCAATGAAGTCTTGATTCTTGATATGAAATTGGTATCTATAGAAACTAGCTGGCAAATGAGACTGCAAAACTAAAGGACTCATGTATTAACAACTAATGAAGCTTAAAAAGCATATCCACTATTATAAAAATAATCAGAGGAACATTTGTGAAAATAAGCATGATTATTTTTTTCTCTTCTAAAAATAACCATTTTTGCCCACTTAAGAGTACATTTTAACTTGTGAGTTTTATCTCTGGTATCAGAAGTTGCAAGGACAATTTATTGATTTTCATTCTCAGGGTATTCTTTGGAAGGAGATGGATTTTCTTGATTGTAGGAGGATTTGGTATCAGGTTTGAGAGGCAAATTTCTCCATGGGTTTCCATTCACTGGAAAAACTTTATTAAGCAGAAGATGTTGTTCACATTCCAGCCCACTGAGAGATCATTGAGACACAAAATGCTTAAAGTCTTCAAGACAATTTTGAAGACACCACTTAATGCAAGACCAAGCTCTTCTAACACTCCTGTTAGTTTCTGGACACATATTTAGTTCCATCTGCTAAGAACTAACATGGCCAAACTGCTAATATTCCCAGACAAGTTTGCCAAAATGAGAATACAATTAAGTGCCAATAACTTAACAGTTTAGACGTAGGGGTGTCGAACTCAATCAGAGAAGGGGCCAAAATCTAAAATCCAGCCTAAATCGTAGGCCGAATGGTTTACTGAACAGTCATAAACTGTCATTGTGATGGAAACGCAGCGGAGTGCAGTGATGACAGCGCGGTGCGGGCCACATTGCAAGGCCTGGCGGGACGGATTTGGCCCGCGGGCCTTGTGTTTGACACATGTGGTTTAGAGCATGGAAAATATTTGCTTTGTCACAAAAATAACAATTTCTGTGGGGCATATGAAGTAAAATCCAAAGGATAGGAGAAAAGCTTTAATTATCCTTTTAAAGACAACAATCAAGGCTGATTTTTTAAACTTTCCATTGACAAGAGCCTATGTCTTTATCACAGAGAGCAGGTCTCAGGGCTTCTGAGTCCAAAGGCCACAAGAGAAAGCCCTCATCTACTTCAATAACCTTTGTCTCTCCTGGCTGCCATCTCTTGGTGACCAGACAGCTACCTTACCTAGAAATGGAACAGGGCACATGGTAGTTTTCTTTTCAAGAGAATCCTATCAGGTGCTCTCGGTACTTGGCACGCTTCACTTAGGGTAAGAGAATGAAGGCAGGAAAGAAGGGTGGAAGAAAGGAAAGAGGGAAGGAGAGAGGGAAGGAAAAAAGGAAGGAAGGAAGGAAGGAAGGAAGGAAGGAAGGAAGGAAGGAAGGAAGGAAGGAAGGAAATTTGCTGGTTATGGTAAAGACAGAAAAAGAAAATTATTTAATTTGAGGGAGAACTTGCAGTTGTTAGCAGAGTTTATTTTATTTTTAAAAGACAAAGTAAGCAGAAGAAAATGGAATACTCAATAGATGCTTATTGTTTTAAATTGTGTTAAATGCAAGAAATTAGAACAAACAAAACACCATACTTCAAATCAAGAGTCAGCAAACTATGGCCTATGGGCAAAATCCAGCCGGTCACAAAGGGTGGGGGAAAGGGACACACTTGTAATTATGTCAACATTAAATATTTTAAATTTAAAAATAAGCATTTATTACCAATAAAACATATATATACAACTTTATTGGAAGAAGGCCAAATCCATTTGTTTAAGTATTATATGTGGCTGCTTTCTTGAGGCAACAGCAGAGATGAATATTTACAGCAGAGACCATATGAACCACAAAGCATCAAATGCTTCCTTCTTGCCCTTTATGGAAATGTCTGCAGATACTGATTTTACCTCACTTTACTTACACCCCTTATTCCCAATAAAACTTTAAATTTTCCTCTTGATGCTTCAAATGGTAATTACAACAATACCATAATCAAAAGTGTTTACATCCTAAATTTTCTTCCATTACAAACACAGTCTTGGTTGGTGGTGAATCTGACAGTGGAAGAAAATGACAGACTTTAGGACCCTTGAAAGCTGGGTGTGGTAAGATGGGAGAGGTCTGAAAGGCTAAGCTATCTTTGAGCTATGAATTTTAGAGCTCTAGAATTTAGAATTTCTAAGTCATAGATTGATTTGGATAAGCTCTCTGAAGTCAGCTCTGACTTCTTATCTGTTTCTGGAGTAGATTATTGAGCCTAATATAAACTAAATATAATAGAATCTCAATAATAGCTTCCCTTCATCCCAATTACAGCTGCCTACAAAAGCCAAATTATGTCAGATGCCTGTTTGCTGCTCAGTTCTAAGATCATTTCTTTGTTTATTTTTAAATATGGTAGATCTGGGTACAAAATTAGAACTGGGAGCAAGGGTATCTTTTATAATAAAACCCTAATATGCAAATCAACCGAACAACAGAACGATTGGTCGTTATGATATGCACTGTACACTAGGGGGCAGACGCTCAATGCAGGAGCTGGCCCTGTGCACTCTCACAGAAGAAGCATTGCTCAGCCAAAAGCTGGACTCATGGCTGGTGAGTGAAGCAGCAGTGGAGGGAGCCTCTCCCACTTCTGTTACAGGTGGTCCATAAGGAATGAGGGGTCCTGGACTACAAGAGCCCTGGACTGCAAGAGGGTGCAGACCAGGCTGAGGAGCCCCACACCTTCCCAGTGCATGAATGTCATGCACCAGGACTCTAGTATTTTTATAACCAGAGGACAGATAAATGCTTATTGAGTGGTTAGTCACAGAAAGAACTTTTTTAGGCCCTTAAACCATAAGAAATATTTAAAAATATCTTTTTTTTTTTTTTAAATACTACAAAACACAAGTTTTTTAGAAATCAAACTTAAAGTAAATTAGGACTATTTTAATTGTCAGAAACTGTAAAACCAAGGGAACAAATGCATGGGGTTCTTGGAACTATGGAATTAGAAGTTTGAGCTAGGTGAAGACTCTCTCTCTCTCTCCCCTTTACTTTCCTCACACCCACCCCAATTTGGCTTCTGTTTTCTTCTTTCCAAGTAGATGTATTAGATTAGTCAGGGTTTCTCAGAGAAACAGAACAATAGAATTGTGTGTGTGTGTGTGTGTGTGTGTGTGTGTGTGTGTGTGTCTGATGTGTATGAGGGTATGTGGAAAGAGAGAAAGAAAGAAAGATTTATGTTAAGGAATTGGCTCACATAATTATAGAAGCTTTCCAAGTCCAAAATCTGCAAAGTGGTCTAGCAACATGGGTACCCAGGAAAGAGTTGCAGTTCAAGTCTGAAGGCAGTCTGTTGGCATAATTCCTTTCTCAGGAGGTCAGTCTGTTTTTATTAAGGCCTTTCTTCAGCTGATTAGATGGGATCCACGAACATTATGAAGACTAATTTGTTTTACTCAATGTCTACTAACCTAAATGTCCTCACAGAAACATCTAGAACAAGCATATCAAACTCTCGATCCATGGGCCGCATGCCTCATTTATTTGGCCTGTGTTAGCCTTTGATTTTGACATGCTTGATCTAGAATAATGTTTGACTCAATATTTTGGAATTGTGGCCTATCCGAGTTGACCACCAGAATAGGAAAAATGGGAAATAAAGAATAATGAACTATTCCTCCCATTTCTGGTTCCATAAATCAAGAAAGTACTCTGATTTGTCCAACTGGGTGAGGTACCTACCACTGGACCAAACAACTTTAGTTAGGGGTGGCATCTGGGGAAAGGATTGTAATCATCCCAGCTCATGTGTAATGCCCATGCTGGGCCAATCCATTCTGGCCAAGGAAGGAGTAGAGGCAGAGTTACCTCATATAAAATATTAATCAAGTACAAAAGAAGGTGTTCCTTAAGTGGGAAACAACTCATTAAGAACTTACAAATGTAACTGTCTAATGTTAACACATTTTCCCATTTAATGATGAAATAGCTCTAATTTGTTTTACAAAGCTCTCAATGTAATTTAGTTATGGTTAACTGACTGTTTACAATCATGTATATAAAATATTGTGGAGAATAGTGTCTCCCACTTGATTTAAGTACCTAAAATTGATTTCTTTTTCTTTTTTCCCTAAATATTTTTTCTAGTTTCACCTGTGGACAGAAAGCAGAACCAGTCATTGGAAACACATCCTGTAGAAGGTAATACACTTTTATTCTCTAGAGGCCAGTACTGAAGGAATGGAGTGTTGAACTTCCTTAGAAACATAGTGAATGGTCTGGTCTGAGGGCCAGCCTTTTCCTAGCTGAAGAATATGGTGATCTCAATGATGTGTGGTGAGGGACCCTGAATGACCCTGCCCCTCTGTCCCCATTGGAAAATCATGGAGCTTTTTCTACCAGGCATTTGTCTAGGCTTTACTGGGAACACAAAGATGAGCAAGATGAGGAAGACTATGGGAGAGCCCCCAGAAAGCTCAGTTTTAGGGGATCACACACCTGGGCACAGCTGTCATACCAAGTGTGCCAGAGTCTAGAGGAGGGAGCTATGAGCACCAAGGCTCAGAGAGGGCTTCACAGGGGCTGTATCACGGGAACTGGGTCTTAAAGGAAGAGGAGTATTAGAATAAAAAAGTCAAAAGATTTACACGTTCTGAAAAGAAACACTAGAGTAAGGAGTATTATAATAGCCAAGAACGTTGTATAGGGCATGGCAGACCACAGGTACATGTGAGGAAAGACACAGAACTGCAATTGTGCTTGGAGTTTTCTTTCTGAAGTTGGGGAGCAATGTAGGGAGTGACTGATTGGAAGGTGAGTCATTTTGAAAAAGAGGGCTTTCAAAGCCACACAAAGGCATTTAAATGTTTTCTTCAGGCAATGAGAGATCTCTGAAGAATCTTAGAGTTGAGTGAAACAGATCTGTGTTATAGAATGATGTACCTGGTTGCAATGTAAGGTATGAATTGAAAACAGGAAAGTTTTGAGACAGAGTTAGAATTAGGAGGCTTTTGAAATATCTGGATGAATGGTGATGGAGACTTAAACTAGTGTAGTGGCCGGCAAATTCATTAGTCAACAGTGACAAATATCAACAGTACAACAATTGAAATTTCTTTTGAGAGCCAAATTTTTTAAACTTAAACTTCTTCTAATGCCACTTCTTCAAAATAGACTCGCCCAGGCCATGGTATTTTGTGAAAGAGCCACAATCAAGGGGCCAAAGAGCCACATGTGGCTCGTGAGCCGCAGTTTGCTGACCACTGAACTAGGGGATGGTAGCTGGGTGAGACTGGGAGATATTTATAGACAAAGGATTCAGAAAAAATAAGATATGACAGCTGGTTCTGGGATAAATATGGGAATCTACACTCTCCCTCCTCAGTGAAGTAGGACATGAAATCACCCTAGCTGATTACAGGAGCGATTAGAGAATAATAAAGACAGACAACTGTCAAACCCACTGAGTTAGAACTATCATTATAAAGGAGATGGCGATTGTTTGAAAGTTGTATAATGGAGGAAGGTGAAAAAACATAGAATACTTAGCATACTTAGATTCCTTGCCATTGGAATTAATATTTTGGGAACCTGGCCCTGTTAAAATTCATATGTTTATATGATTACCTAATACTTTCTTTGAAAAAATAGAGTCAGATCTGAGGATAATTATTAGGCAAAAACAGTAAGCCTTATAGTGTTTACAAACTAAAGTTCAAACTTAAATGACCTGGCCTACACACCTTCACTGAGAGCCTTTAAATTTGTGTCCTTACCAGTCTCTTTTCTTTCTGGTTTTATCTTCAGCATCTTTCCCTTGTGCACATGTAGCTTACTCACATCTAACTCTAGTGGTTCCCAACAAGCCAAGTGTTAGGTAAGAAACATTGTACATTGTGGAGTTTCAGATAACCATATTTGGGACTGAAATAAATATCTTTTTAAATTCCATATTTAACTGCATCTCAGATCTGCTTTAAAATCGCCCTTTTCCTCATCTAGTTAAGTGATCTTTATTTGGCTATGAAATTCAAAGGCTTGAGTACTGCGCAGAAGAGGAGAAAGATTAACCAGAGTTTAGCAGAAGCAAGATTCACTCAAAAATTTTGCCCCACCACACAGGTCATGTTAAAGTGATGAAATTCCTGATACTTCTATTACTGGTGAGCTGTAACAAGCACACCTAGTCACCTCTCAGCAAACGCTTACCAGTCATGGACACATTATGCCAATTTATGGGGAAAATGTGAGCTTCCCTATTGAAAAATACTTGAAGGTTGCAGGACTTTTTATTTTAAAAAATGAACAAAAGAAATCAATTTCTATATTTAATCCTCATTATTGGAATGATTTATGGCAACAAAATCTGTGGATAAAATTCATAGTTGATCTCTTTGGGAGTGTGTGCAATTAAAAGGAAGGAAGGAAGGAAGGAAGGAGGGAAGGAAGGAGGGGAGGGAGGGAAGGAGGGAGGGAAGGAGGGAGGGAAGAAGGAAGGGTTTGTTGAATTTGCTGACTTTTTGATTCTCAAAAAAAAAAAAGAACTTTAAAAATTTCTAGCTTGTTTAATTCGAATGCCATCTTAGTTATTTTTATAACATTTACTTTTCATATTTATTTTTGTCTGAAGTGTCACCCTCAGAGATAAGCATTCAGATTTGATATTACTAATTTATTATCTCTCATAAAACCTAGAAGAATACAACCACATCACTAATTATTTCATTGTCTACCCCAAGGAGCATGAGGTATAAAATAAATATAATTGTCTGACCAAAAGATTCATTGTGTTTCTTTTTAAGTTGAGAATTGCATTTTCTTGTTTTTTTCATAGATATTGAAACTTCTGAAATAATTTCAAAATACTTAAAAAATTTTTCACACATGTAATATACACTGTTTACCTAATAACATAATATAGGAGAAAATGAATTAATCTTTGAATTAGGTTTAACATGTTATATACACCTTGTGAATGTTTAATTCTTTAAGTCTCATGGTTTTCGAATAAAACCACCATCCAAGTAAGGGCTAGTACAACTTTATGTAATATGATGTAGAAAATATAACACATGAAGTTCTTACCAAGCTTTTCTTTTGTATTCTTCGTGTGTGTGTGTGTGTGTGTCCAGCTAATACTTCCCTGCCTGTGCTGGTGGATACAAAGGCTTACCTCTCTTGCCCTTCTATCGTGTTGACAAATGGGCTTTTAACAATTTGGGAAATAACCCTCCGAGACAAGCCTTTCTGCATCAGAACCCACAGGAGAGACACAAATGAGACCATAGAAACAAACTGCACTGACAAGAGAATGACCTGGCCCGACAGACCTGACCAGATCCCTGCCCTTCAGATTGACCCAGTGGCCATCACTCATGAAGGGCATTACAGGTGTGACGTGGCAGCACCTGATGGGAATTTCCAGAATAACTATCACCTACGAGTGTTAGGTAAGAAACATTGTACATTGGGGTGATTCAGAAAACCAGAGTTGGGACTTAAAGGAATTCCTCTCTAAATTCCATGTCTAATGTGTTAGGACTAAAGCATTTACTTCTTCATCTCTGCAGTGGCCCCTGAGATGACTCTGTTTCAAAGCGAGAATAGAACTGCGGTGTGCAAGGCAGCTGCGGGGAGGCCGGCTGCCCGGATCTCCTGGACCCCAGCGGGAGACTGTGTCCCTGAGCACAAAGGTTGGGGCAATGGCACAGTGACTGTCCAGAGCACGTGCCACTGGGCGGATGGCAATGTGTCTATTGTGTCCTGCTCTGTCTCCCATGAGACTGGCAACTGGAATCAGTCCATAGAGCTGAATCAAGGTAAGTAATTCTAGTTTATATATATATATATATATATATATATATAAATAAAATATTGATTTTTTTACAGAGAGGAAGGGAGAGAGATAGAAAGTCTGAAACATCGATGAGAGAGAAACATTGATCAGCCGCCTTTTGCACACCCCCTACCAGGGATGTGCCTGCAACCAGCGTACACGCCCTTGACCAGAATTGAACCTGGGACCCTTGAGTCCGCAGGCCTATGCTCTATCCACTGAGCCAAACCGATTTCGGCTCTAGTTTTGTTTTTGATTTTCCATTCTTTCAGAGGAGTTGTGGGAAGAAGGGAAAAGGAGTTTGTAGAGAATTTCTCCCAAGAGTGTTCTCTCCGCTTCCTATGTTATCTCCTTCTCTTACACCAAGTAAGAGGGATATCTAGGAGAATAACGCAGAAATTTCTTGTAAGAAGCCATATTTTAAAAGAATGAGGTATATTATTTAATAATTAAAATAAAAAGAATTTAATATTGTGCTCGCTTCGGCAGCACATATACTAAAAAGAATTTAATATTCACTTCTATTTATTATAGTAGTAAATTGGCTTGAGTAGTGTACTTTTAAATGAATATCTATGTTTATAGTAGAGGGGTAATTTATAATCTTAAACAAAAGCTTATACTTTTACAAGAAAGATAAAGTCACCCATAACTTTTCTTTACAAAATTTAATGTGGTAGAATTTTTTTCTCTAGGCCAATGGTTGGCAAACTCATTAGTCAACAGAGCCAAATATTAACAGTACAGCGATTGAAAATTTTTTGGGAGCCAAAGTTTTTAAACTTAAACTATATAGGTAGGTACATTGTTATTAACTTAATTAGGTACTCCTAAGCTGGCCTTAGCTAAAAACTCAAGGGGTCAAAGAGCAGCATGTGGCTCACGAGCCTTAGTTTGCCAACCACTGCTTTAGGCTCTTTCTAGAATTTCTTAATTATATTGTTGCACATCTATGACTCTCCACCTTTACCTCTCCATTCTCACTCAGTTACGTAGAAGCAAGTACATTTTAATCTTCACGTGTTTTGTTTTGTTTTAACTTCATTTTTCTAAGTAATGTGCCCCTACTGATATTTCTTAAAATATTAAATTTAGACATTCTGTGACCACTTTCTTTTATGAGGATTTCACTTTACCTTCATTCCCTCGTCTTTTATAGCATGAATATATTGCAATTTTGCTTAAATTAAATAGCCATAGCTTACATTATTTTGAATATGTAACTTTGTTAAGTGCTAAGTCAAAAATAAGCTCATACGTTCTTATTTTGATTTATTAGGTAGTCCATCAGCCCATTTTTTTCTTGAGGCATCCCTTCTTGAGGCTTTACATGCTCTTGTTCTAATTTGGCCCGATTGGCTGCTACACCTGCTACACAGCTATTGTCCTGGATGTTCGCTTTGCCTGGATCCTCTGCTGGGTCTGTGTCTGTTTAACCCAAGTTCCTTCTCCCTTCCAGACATTTGCTAGTTTTACTTTCTTTCTTTCACACGTGAGGCATTTCTTAACTCTCTGGTAATCCTTCACTGTCGATTCATTTCAAAGTGTGTATTCAAAAGTGAACTGATTGGAAGCTCTGCTCTCTGAGGCTGAGCTTGCCAAATAGTTCATTTCAATAGGGTGAAAGGTGGTAAATAATTTTTTTTTTTTTAAATTGGGGATTCCTTTGTTACCTGAAGGTCTTTACTCTGAGGCTGTTCAGGTTCTGCAGAAAATAACTCCAGTCTCTGTTTTAGAGGGATAACCCTGACTGCTGTCAGTTTTTTGGGAGCAGGGAAGAAGAGGTGTGTGTGTGTGTGTGTGTGTGTGTGTGTGTGTGTGTGTGTGTGAGTGGCTTCCCTTTAATAACTCTCTGCAGTCTGGCACCTCATCTCCACCCTCCATTTTGTTTGGATCCTTGACTCTGGAGTCTCACCAGTTCATCTTCTTTGGGTAAAACTTCTGTTCTTTGCTGATTGGGAAAGGGTAGTGACCTGCTGCACAGGAAGAGGGGAGACTTGGTAGCTACCTGTCCTCAATGCAGACTTTCAAAGAAGCCTCCAACCTTTGGCCCACAGTTTACAAACCCTTTCCTCTATATTTTAGAATTTTCCTGAAGTTCTATGGGCATTAGAGTTGTCACTTATTTTATTCTGAATTATTTGCCATACTTCTGTTTATTTTTTAAAAATCTAAAAACAATTTGAAATCTGTCATCTTCTCTTGACTTCATCCATGTTTTCTTTGTCTTTGCATAAATACTTTTAAAATTTTTATTTACTTGTATTTTAATACGTTTTAAGAAGGGAGGAGTGACAAACCCAAGTGTTTGAACTGCCACTTCTTAATATCCATTTTTAAAGTGTGATTTGTCTTTTATTTTAAGAAGTTTAGCAGTATTTACTGAGAAGAGTAACTGCACCCTGTTTATTAATGATGTACAACCATCCACTAGTACAATATGATGTCGTATTCATAGAATCTCAGAATTGAAGGGATGGGCTAGGCCACTCCCACACCATGCAGGGATCTCCTGCATCTTCCATGCTGGGAGCCCTTCAGCCTCTCTTGGTACACTTCCAGGGAAAGAGAGCGCAGGGAAAAGAGAGGGTTCCAAAACAATGTTATTTTAAACTGTAAAACCAAATGTTTCTATTTCTAATGGAGTACTGAGAAATCCAGTGTTTAAAAACAAACATCATGTAACATATAGAAATCCACACATGAAACCTTTATGTTCATGTTGACCAAAGTCACCCCAATCAATTTAATAAATAGAATAAAATAAAAAAAAACAACTCCAACCAACAGTTCAAAGAAGGTAGAGGGATTGGATGCCAGCCTGCTCAGCCTTCAGTTCACCTCCCTCTGCTGTCCATTCACCCAACGCCAGGAGCACAGTCTTAAAACCACTGTCTCGCAATTCTTTTGTTGACTTGTCCTCTGTCACATTGAGCGGTGCTCTACTGCCAACAGTTAATACACAACTTAAAGTTGCTGCCCTACATTCATTTTATTTTATTATTTATTTATTTATTTATTTAAAATATATATTTTATTGATTTTGTACAGAGAGGAAGGGAGAGAGATAGAGTTAGAAACATCAATGAGAGAGAGTCATCGGTCAGCTGCCTCTTGCACACCCCCTACTGGGGATATGCCTGCAACCAAGGTACATGCCCTTGACCGGAATCGAACCCAGGTCCCTTCAGTCCCCAAGCCAACGCTCTATCCATTGAGCCAAACCGGTTTCGGCCCTACATTCATTTTAGTTTGAATGCCCTAGTAGAAAGGTGGCTTCAAAATTAGAGTTATTTTTCCAACTACCTTCATTACAACTTCCTGTTTATTTCTGAATCTTGCAGATAAGAAACACTGCTATTATTATAACACAGAGATAAACATTTTACATTTCTGCTATAGCAATTCACCATTCACAACTAGGAACTCTAAAGTCTTAATTGATAAAACAACTTTATTATAAAAATTATTAATGATTAGTGGGTCAGAAGTGTTTAAAATAAAAAAGAAATGAATTTTATGTACAGTGCAACATCCTTGAAACATATTGTATAGAAACTTTATTTTAACTGATTTTTATTTTTTAGAGTAGTTTTAGGTTCATAGCAAAATTGAGTAGAAAGTACTGAATTCCTATATACCTCCTGCCCCAACATATGCACAGCATACCCCCTATCTACACCCACACACTGCAGTGGTAAATTTGTTATAAAATATGAAGCTACAGTCACACATCATTGTCATCCAAAGTCTGTCGTTTACATTAAGGTTTAGTCTAGGTGTACATTCAATGGGTTTTAACAAATGTATGGATGACATGTATTCACCATTGTAGTACCATACAGAGGAGTTTCACTGCCCTAACAATCCTCTCTGCTCCACCTATCAGTTCCCTCTTCACCCTAACCTCTAGCAACCCCTGATCTTTTTACTGTCTCCATCGTTTTGCCTTTTCCAGATATGGCTGGAATCATATCAGAGTAGCCTTTTTAGATTGGCTTCTTGCAATTAGTAATATGCAGTTAAGATTATTTTCTGAATTTTCATGCCTTAATGGCTCATTTTTTAAATGCTGAATAATATTACAGCATGTATTTTTGTGTCTATATATACAGGTGCCAAAACATCAAAACCCCCAATTATTCTATATAGCATCCTTCCTGTTATTATCTTAGTCATCGTGGGATTCGTTTGGCTTTTGAAAATCATTGGCTGCAGCAGGTATTGACAGATGTTCTTTTCTTCTTCAGCTTTATTGGGCTAGGAGGGGGTCAGGAAGAGGATAAAATTAAGATGTTAACATCTTTTATCCCATATTCTGAATGTGTTAGACTTGGACTATTTTGAATGATGAGAGGGATTTGCTGGTTTACCTAGGCATGCAAGCATAGTGAATTAGGCCTTTTTGGGCAGGACTTTGGGAGAGATTGTGCATGCTAATTTACTACTTGGAAAAAGAATTACCATAGTCATTTAATGTACCAAAGAGCAGCATTTAATGTAATGCTGTTGCATAATTTTACTCCTTTTCCCCAAATCCAGAATTATCTTGTTTGGGTGTATTTACTACAAGAAGCATTCTTCACTCATTTCTGACTTAGTATCACCTCTATCAAAATGAACCATAATTGTCAATAGTATACTATTTTGTGTTTTTATTTTCAACATAATAACATTTATTGTAATTTACTCCAACTTATATTTATTTTTACAGAATATATAAATTGAAAAAAACAGAACCTACTCCAGGTGGTGAGGAGGTAAGATAAGATTTAATAGAATATTTGCAAATTTTAAGCTTTATAGTTTGGAAATCTGTACACATAATTTGCATCAATATTACCATAGTGTTTTAGTTGAGAAGCAAAAATTTTGATGTTATAATGCTAATAGTGAAGTGTACTTATTTTATTAATTACTAGAGGCCTGGTGCACAAAATTTGTATATGGGGATGTGTGAGTCCCTCAGCCCAGCCTGCACTCTCTCCAATCCTGGACTGCTAGCTCACAACCGCTTACCTGCCTGCCTGCCTGCCTGCCTGATTGCCACTAACCACTTCTGCCTGCCAGCCTATTCACCCTCTAACCAGTCTCTTGCCAGCTTGATCAATGTCTAACTGCTACCCTCCTCGCCTTATTGCCCCTAACTGTCCTCCCCTTCCGTCCTGGTTGCCCCCAACTGTTCTCCCCTGCAGGCCAGGTTAACCCCAACTGCCCTCTCCTGCTGGCCTGGTCACCCCTAACTTCCCTCCCTTGCCAGCTTGATAAACCCTAACTGCCCTCCCCTGCAGGCCTGATCACCCCCAACTGCCCTCCCCTGCAGGCCTGTTTCCCCCCAACTGCTCTCCCATGCAGGTCTGGTCACCCCCAACTGCCCTCTCCTGCAGGCCTGGTGTTCCCAACTGCCCTCCCCTGCAGGTCTGGTCACCCCAACTGCCCTCCTCTGCCTGCCCAGTTACCCCTAACTGCTCTCCCCTGTAGGCCATCTTGTGGCAGCCATCTTTGACCACATGGAGATGGCCATCTTGTGTGTTGGAGTGATATTCAATTTGTATTACTTCTTTATTATATAAGATTTACCAAGTACCACCCTAAATTCATATTTTCATTTCATGAACTGCATCTTACAAAACACATAATGTTTGCTTTGTTCAGACTGTAATTTTTGGAGAAACTGAATTCGCATTTCCTCCCAGTGAAACCATGTCTCTAATTCTTGTCTTCCCTTTTTTTAATACCATCATCATTTCCCACTAGCCCATGCTTAAAACTTTTCCTACTCCTTAATCTCTTCTTGTTTGTTTTTAATCCTCACCTGAGGATATTTTTTCCATTGATTTTTTTGGGAGAGTGAAAGAGAGAAAGACAGAGAGAAACATATGTGAGAGAAACACATTGATTGATTGCCTCCTGTGTGATCCCAATCAGGCCTGGAGCAGAGGGGAGCCTGCACAGGTACAAACCCTTGATTGGGATCAAACCTGGGATCCTTTGGTCCACAGGCTGATGCACTGTCCATTGAGCCAAACTGGCTAGGGCTTCTTAATCTCTTATAACCAGTAGTTTACTAAGTCTTTGATGCTCTCCTATGAAACACTTCTCATATCATTTTCTTCTTCTCCATATCTACCTTCACCCAACCTTTATCATTTGACACCAAGATTTATGTAATAAATAAATATTTTAATAAAATATTTTTAGAAGTCTTGATTTATGTTCATATAAGCCAAGAGACACAAACATAAACTCTATTGGTAGATTCTAAAGCTATGAGCATCTATTACAAAAACATAGGCAGCTTCTGTAATGACTTTGGCTTTTTTGATTGATTTTGATTTTAATATTTTTCTTAGGATGAAATGCAGCCCTATGCCAGCTATACGGAAAAGATCAATCCACTCTATGATACTACAAACAGGGTGAAGACATCTCAGGTGTTACAAAGTGAAGTTGATGGGATGAATCTCCATACTTCATAAGTTACTGGAATCTAGGACCAGGAGAAATGAATCAAGATACAATGCAGTCACTTTTGATTTTCTTGTAGAAAGGAAGACCTGTTACAAAATTGGATTTTCAAATAGTCTTTGAAGATAGAGATGTTCTAAAGGATTTGCATTAATATCTTTATACAATTGAAATTTTATAATCTTAGCTGCTAATAGCTAGTTCTCTGAAGAATTGATATTATTATAAAGAAAGGACATGCTCATGATTAAATATTCAAATTGTTCAGTACAATAGGTAATGAAAGCTTGTTTCCTCAATAAATAATTCTGCAGAAGGAACATTCATTAACAGGTTTTATGCATTCTTTCAGAAAATTTCTGTGCCTAAGATATATTTATATACCCATGGTATATGTGAGTATTATATGTCTATTTACATATTAGTATATATACATATATCCTTGATGCACAAATGAGAAAGTGCTACAATGCTGTTCTGTACTTATAGAAAGCTAATAATATAATATGTCTTGTTATCTTTTATCTTTTATCCACATAAGCAGAGCTACCTCATTCTTCTTAATTGTTAGATAATATTTCATTGTATGATTGTGTTGTAATTTAACTAACCACAGCTCTTGTGATGGACAGTTAAATTGTTTTAAGTCTTGTTTGTTTGTTTTGCTATGATAAACAATACCATACAGAATGTTTCTTCTGGATACGTCTTTGTAGTTGTTTGAGTATATTTATAGAGTGATGTCCTTGAGTGGAGTTTACAGGTCAAAAGTTTTGTGTATTTTTATTATTGATTGATTTGTCAAATTATATCTATTTACATTCCCTCCAGCTGTATTTGAATGTGCCTGTCCCCATACTGTTATTTTAATATCCACAAATTCCCACTTTTTATTGTTAATCAACCAGTTAGCTAATCTGATGCAAAATTATAAGAATTATATTATTTAATAAACCAGATTTATATCTATCATGTTTATGCTAGAGAGAGAATGAGAACATGTATGAAGACTTTGGCTCATTGTATTCCTCCCTTGAAGGCCTGGTTCCTCCTAACTACCCTCCCCTGTAGACCTGGTTGCCCCCAACTGATCTCCTCTGCTGGTCACCCCTAACTGCCTTTCCTTGCTGGCCTGATCACCCACAGCTGCCCTCCCCTGCTGGCCATCTTGTGGTGGCCATCTTGTGTCCACATGGGGGCAGCCATCTTTGATCACATGGGGGCAGCCATCTTGTGTGTTGGAGTGATGATCAATTTGCATATTATGTCTTTATTAGGTAGAATATTCTATTGTGATGTGTTTATCAAATAACAAATGTTTATTGACTACTTAAGTGGCTAAATATGCATTATGAAGGACTTGGAAACCTATAAAATAGGTTTTATGTGCTAAGATAATGGCCCTGGTGTGACATGACCCTCCCCTCTATTTTCTGTGGAATAAAATGTTGGGGCTGTGTATATCAATCATTTTTAATATTATTAAAATTTATATTATTTATGAAAAAGTAAGTCTGTTTCTCCACAGCAGGAAAAACATTTAAAAATTTCAGCATGGCAGAAATGAAAACAAAATCCATTCCTTCTTCAATTATGCATCTGAAACATTTAAGACAGTTATTTTGTCTTACTAATGTCCTTTTGGTTATTTTAGGCTTTATATTTAAAACAAATTTTAATCTATTTGGATGAAAAACTTATATAATAGCACTTGGCACCTGATATTGACCAAGCCATTTTGATACCATCTTGAGTTGGTCCCAAACCCTAATTCATTAAATTTCCCATATAAATATTACCAAGCAGTGTAAACAATAGATATCATAACCTGGTCTTGACTTTTTCTTAATTATTCAATCTTCTCTAGTTGGAATGAGGCTCATAGTAAGGTTCAAAAATATCTGTTTAAATATTACTGAAAAACAAAACAAAACAAAACAAAACTGTGTTTACATTTTCACCTTATAATGTCAAAACAGCCCTGTCAAATGACAATACAGAAAAGATTTCAAGGTGGTTTTTAAAAGCTAAATTGTATAGTACAGGAAAAAATGTATTAAAATCTTCCACTATAGGGTGTTAAGTATAGTTGAACCTATACTTAACACCCTATAGTGGAAGATCAGAATCATGTGTGTGTGGGGGAATTGCAGTAGTTCCTTTATTCATGGGGGATATGTCCTAAGACTCCCAATAGATTCCTGAAACTGTGGATAGTACTGAATCCCAGATATATTATTTTTTCCCTCTATGTACATACATTTTCATGTAAAAGAAGCACTTTATGGCTTCTCTTTGGCATATATAAATTTGGAGCATTAATACTCTTGTGCTTTGGGCCCATTACTCAGTAAGTTAAGGGTTACTTGAACAAAAGCACTGTGATACAAAGACAGTTGATCTGAAAACCAATATAGCTACTAAGTGATTAACAGGCAGGTAGACTTGACAGCCTGGATACACTGGAAAAAGGGATGTTTCAGGAGGAATGGAGTAGTACAGTTCAAAATTTTATCATTACTCAGAATAGTGTGCAATTTAAAACTTATGAATTGTTTATTTCTGGACTTCTCTATTTAATATTTTTGAACCACAATTGACCATGGGTAACTGAAGTCTAGGAAAGCAAAACCTTGAATAAGGGGGGACTATTGTATATAGATTCCCCAAATCCACTTTATACCACTGAATCAGAAAATTTTACAGATTGGACCAGGTGTATCAGTTAGATCCTCAGTCAGCAGAAGGTAAATTAAGTTAGGAGTGATAAAGATTAAATGTGGGAGAGAGGTTACACTTATTAGAGATTAAAGGGGCAGAAGGTAGGATATAGGTGGGAAAACCTTTAGACCATGAAGCTGATCTGAATGACATCTGTAAAAGGAAAGAGGGGAGGAAGCAGGATAGAAGAAGGAAAGCCTAATATCACTGTAAAGAACTGTCAAAGTGTTGGCCAAACCAATGACCAGCCCTGAAGCAAAGATTGCTTCTAAGAAGAGTTTTTCATGAGCAGAAATGGCCAAATCCTGATTCATCATCAACCTTAGTCATTGGCTGGGAAGAGTTTGACCTCAACTCAAAAGATGAAATATATCCTGAAGGTGTTAACAACTTGTGCCCATCAGCTAGTTACTCTTCTTGCAGTTATATGGTTAGTTCTTTTTTTCTCACCACCTTGACTGCCAGCCCATCCTTTCACTGGCTAGTATTTGCCTAGTCTGTCTTTATCTGTCTCTTTATTTTCAACTTTTCTGTGACACTTTATTTCAGACACATCTTTACTACATCTTTTATAAATATAGACAGCCAATTTTTTAAAACTATTTGAGAATTTTAACTTTAAATAAAAGAGTTTAAGCCATAAACATTTGTTGTGATTACTTACATATTTAGTTATATTTCTACAATCTTATTTATATGTCTCATTTACTACGTTTTTTACCCCACCATGTTTTGTTTTGTTTTTCTTTTACTCTGCTTTGCTGGAATAGTTAATTTCTTTTCTTTCGTTCCAGTAGTTTACAAATTACCCGTTGTAACACACATATGTTAATGGCTATGCCTTATTTATGAACACCTAAAAACAGCTTTGTTGTGTCATAATTGATACATTTAAGATACACTTGTTAAATTTTGTAAAAATTTAAAGTGTACAATTTGTTGTTTGACATAATTTTACACCCATGAAGCATCAGCCCAGTCAAGATAATGAACTTAGTCATTATCCCCCAAAGTTTTATGTCATTGTAATACTACCCAAATGCTGGCAGGATGTGAACATGTGAGGATGAATGCGCAGGCAGGTGAGGCAGAGGCATATACAGAGTCATGGTGCTAGGTTGGAGGTGCCTGAGAAATGCCAGGCCAACATTTAGATCAGGAATAGCTAGCATTTGTTTTTTTGGAGCCTGGTCCTCTCCCCATCTGAGCAAAACAGAAGTCCAGGGCTTATGCATTGGATGTACTTGATGGGTTCAAGTAAAATTTCACTTTTGCTTTAATTTCTGCTTCCAGACTGACCTCTAACCCCAGCCCAAGACTACTTGGAAGGGGGGTCATATGAGTGAAGAACTATTTGTATTATGGTCTTTTTGTGTGCTTTACTCTTAAACATTTTCTACGTTGGTGTTTCCTGTATCACAATGCATACTTCTGGAGGGAGAGATCATGTTTGGATTCTCTCATAAATTACACAACAAATTATCAAGCAAAAATACATAGATACACACAAATAAAATATAATGCAAGGGAAGTGAAACTACCCAGGAAAAGATTTTGGTATCTATCCTGGTTCTACAGCGCTGTCATTAACTGTCTTAGGATAAGGTACTTAACCTCTCTCCTTCATTATTTACAAAAACGAATGGAATTATACATGCCTCCTAAGAATTGTTTTGACAGTGTCTGGCATATAGCTCAATCTATTACAACAGGATCTGAATTTTGAGTCGAATGTTCATGCTTCTCTGGAGAGAAATAAATGTATAAAAGCACAAACCAGGAAGTTCAGTCATTATCAACTCAACTCTCCAAACAGGAAATGCTTCTTTTTAAATTGCTCCTGACCAGAAGGAAATACAGTGCAGGAAGAGAGAAGGGGACTTCTCATCAGTGCTTATGGGGCAGAGCAGAAGAAGCAAAAGAGCACAGCTAGGTATATAGGCTGGTGGAAGTAAAACACGAAGATAAGGACAGAAAAATAAACAGAAGGGAACTCCCTTTGGAAGATGCCTTCACTCTTAAGATACATACTGTTCACATCCCCCCCCCCCCCTTCATAGTTAATAAGTCTGTTGGGAAAAATGGGGAGTGGGGTGGGGAAAGAAAGGTGTTGAGCTAAAGTAAAGGAGACCATGATGAGAAAGATGCTTTAGCTAGTTTTCAACCGGAATTTCCCATGTCTTTAAAATGCTCAATTTTATTTTTCTTTTCTAGTTTCCCTGGCTAACAATTTTAGAGCAGTCCTTGTATGGAGACCCAATGTTCTACATTTCTAACAAAAAAGCTTGCAGCTATTGCTGGTCTGTAGATCACACTTTGAGTAAGAAGGCTTTAGGAAGTCCTGTTCTTTAAGGAGAGAGACTTGTAACAATTCTTAGACTATATCTTTGTGTCATATGCAAAAAAAAAAAAAAAAAAAAAAAAAAGAAAAGTCTAAGGACAAATTCACACATAAATGTAAAGGCCCTTAAATGTGGGTTTAGCCTATTTAGACCACTTCAGGGGCACATTTTTAAGCACTCTGTAGGCAGAGTAATGTAGAAAAACATGGTCATGAGTCTTTGCTTTGTTCCTTTGGAGGCAGTTTTTTAATCTGTAAAGTGGGGGTAGCCATTTCTCCCTCCTAGAACATTTGTTATTCTTCAGTCTAGAAGTGCTTTGCATATAGATATTCAATGAATATTAGTTTTTGTACCTCTTCTTTATCTTATCTTTAGAAATATCTGTTTATATATTTATAAATAATGACTATTTTTATATTTAAGGTAACTTAATTTTTTTTTATCACTACCTAATGCATTCTGACAATATATTTTAATGAGTAGTAGTTAGTAGAAGTTTATACTTAGATGGACTTCTCTACCCATCTTTCTCTAAGTCATTTGCTGCTAGTTGAACAATTTTAATGAAATAAAAACTCATTACAAAGAATTTGAAATGCCACGAGTCCAAATTTGCAACTACCCTGACTGCAGAACAAAGGAAATTTTAGTTAAAAAAAAAGAAAAAAAAAAAAAAAAAGAAGGAAAATCAACATTCATTAAGAACTCCTAATTTATTTTTGCTACTTCTCTTTCATCTCTCATCTCTTTGGGTCCTTATCCTTCACAGAATACAGCCTCCTAGGGCACAGAGCAGGGTAGGAAAGGATAG